CGTGAGTTGTCGACTACTTTTGACGAACTCGATGATGATCTGCCCTCCATCGACACAGTCCCTAAGGAAGTGGAACTTCACGTCGATGTGTTTGCTCCGGTCGTGTAGAACCGGATTCTTTGCGAGGGCGATGGTGGGCTGGTTGTCCACCATCAGTGCTGGTGGGTGAGCTTCCACGCCGGTCAGCTTGCCCAGCAGCCGGCGCAGCCACACAACTTGGCACGCCACTATGGCCACTGCTACGTACTCTGCCTCGCACATAGATAGCGCCACCAATTTCTGTTTCAGCGACAGCCATGAAATTAGGGCCGACCCAAGGAAGACGAGCACGCTAGAGGTGCTCTGTCGTCCGTTGATGTCCCCCGCCATGTCTGCATCGCTGAATACAGTGAGCTATAGCCTACTCCCATCGATCTTGGGAAAGATTATCCCTTGATCCACCGTTCCCTTGATGTAGCGCAGTAGCCGCTTCACCGTAGCCTAGTGATCCTCTCTAGGATCCTCCATGAAGCGACTGATGTAGCCCACAGCGAACGCAATGTACGGCCTCATGTGGACTAGGTAGCGTAGACCGTCGATGATGCTCCGGTAGAGTGTTGCATCCACCTTTGTCGTGGTGCTGACCTTCATCAGCTTCAGCCACTCCTCCATCAGAGTCACGTATGGCTTGCACTCAGCCATGTTGCTCTACTCCAACAGCTTGGAGGCATACGCACTCTGACCGAGCATGAGTTCCTCCTTCCCCTATCTCACCTTGATGCCGAGGTAGTAGGAGAGTGCGCCAAGATCGCTCATTCAAAAACGAGCCGCCATCTCACGCTTGAAGCCGTTTATGTCCTTCATGCATGCGCTGGTGACGATTAAGTCATCCACATACACGCCGACGACGAGCTCCTCCTTCTCCCGTCGCCACTTGTAGAGCGTGTGCTCAGTTGCACACCATTGAAACCCAAGCTCGCCTAGCGTGGCATCAAGCTTGGTGTTCCATGCTTGTGGGGCCTGCCGCAGCCCGTACAGCGCTTTTCGCAGTTAGAGCACCCTATGCTCCTCTCCCTTGATGACGAAACCTAGAGGTTGCCTGACGAAGACCGTCTCCGCCAGCTCACCACTGAGGAAGGCCAATTGAACATCCAAGTGATGGACGTGCCAGTCCTTTGCTGCTGCCAAGGCTAGTAGCAAATGGACTGACTTCATGCGCGCTACTGGCGCAAAGATCTCCTCGAAGTCTATGCCCTCACGTTGAATAAAGCCTCGGGCGACGAGGTGCGCCTTGTGCTTGGCAATGGTGCCGAGCTTGTCCCGCTTTACCTTGTACACCCACTTTAGGCTGATCGGACGGCATCCTGGAGGTGGATCGTCGAGCTGCCATGTCTCGTTTTCCTCGATCGCCTTCATCTCCTCCAGCATTGCCCATCGCCGGTTTCTGTCCTGCTCGGCCAGCGCGAACATGGGTGGTTCCTCTGCACTAACGAGCAGTAGCTCTGCATCATTGAGCAGCCGACCAGCCAGTCCTGAGGATCCTGTGCCGCTGAAGATGTCGTCCAGCCTGCGGAACCGCACCTCCTCACCTTCATGGAAGGCATCCACAAACTCAGTGATGTCACTTGGAGGTGAGGCGAACTCAATAAGTTTTGATGGAGTTCCCTATTCCGCCAGAGTGCTCGGCACAGCAACTTGAGTGCTCGGCACCCTGGTTGCAGTGCTCGGCACTTCTTCTAGATAGCTTGTCATTACTCCTGCAGTGCTTAGCACCACTATAGGAGTGCTTAGCCTCAGTCTTGGAGTGGTCAGCACCACTGCAAGACCTCTTGGCTCTGCCACAGGAGTGCTCGGCACCCGTCCTGAAGTGGTCGCCACCACTGTAGAACCTCCCGGTGCCACTCCTGGTGTGCTTGGCACCCCTCCAGGAGTGCTCGGCACTCCTCTTGGAGTGCTCGGCATCCCTCCCGAAGTGCTCGGCACTGCCCTAGGAGTGCTTGGCTCTGCCCTTGGAGTGCTCGGCACCCCTTTCGGAGTGCTCGGCACCACTTCCCCAATGTCTCCACCACCGTGGATGACCAGGTGCTCGATGATGAAGGTGTTGGTGAAGCCGCCAGCTTCCCCCGTGCTCGTACTGCTCTAGTCCCAAGCTGCCTTCTCGTCGAACATTACGTCGCGCGAGACAAGCACCTTGTCTCTACATGGGTCATAGAGACGGTACACCTTGGTACCCTCCACGTAGCCTAGGAACACCATCGGTGTGCTCCTGTCCTCTAGCTTGGTGAGGTTTGGCTTTGTCTTCCTGACGTGGCCAATGCAGCTGAATGTCCAGAGGAAGGACACGCTCGGCTTGCGCCCATACCAAGCTTCGAACGGTGTCTTGCCTATCAGGGCTTTGGTCGGAGCGCGATTGAGGATGAACATCGCCGTGGTCACCGCCTCCCCCCAGAACCTTGCCGACATGCCTTTGGCCTTCATCATCGATCGAGCCATGTCGACCACCATCTGGTTCCGCCTCTCCACCATGCCATTCTGTTATGGCGAGTATGGCGTGGTGTGGTGTCGCACCACACCCTGATCCGCACAGTACGCAGCGAACTCCACCGAAGTGAATTCGCCACCGCGATCAGTCCTCAGCATGCGGAGCTTCTTGCCGCTCTTGGCCTCCACGCGTATCTTAAACTTCTTGATCGCCACCGCTGCTTCGTCCTTGCTCGTCAGGAGTTGCAGCCACATGTAGCGACTGCAATCATCCACGAGCAGGAGAAAGTACCACCGACCACCATTTGTAGCTGGCGTGATCTGCCCGCAGAGGTCGCCGTGGACGAGCTTGAGAGCATCCTTTGTGCGATACTTGGCCGCCATTGGGAACGGTAGCCTCCTCTGCTTTCTGGCCAGGCAGCTATCACAAAGCTCGGCTCTGTGCTTAAAGTGGGGTAGCCCTCGGACCATCTTCTTCAGCCGACCAAGCACGTTGAAGCTGAGATGTCTGAACTGAGCATGCCACATCCATGGTTCGTCGGTGTGCCTTGCCGCCAGGCACACCTGCTGCTCTATCTTTAGGTCGAGCAGGTACAACAGGTTCAAGGAACTCTTCACCTTGGCAAGAAGTCACTGCTCCCGGTCCTGATCCTAAGGACTCCATCCTTGATCAGTACCTCGCTACCGTGCTCATCCAGCTAACCAATGCTAATGATGCTGGAACGCAGCCGTGGGATGTAATATACATCTGTTAGCGTGCGGTGCTCCCTATTCTGGCACCTGAAGATGATGGTGTCGCGCCCTTAGATTCCCACCCTTGAGCCATCACCAAACTTCATCGTACCGGTAACATCGTCGTCGAGCTCGGAGAAGGATGCCTTGGACCCCGTCATGTGGTTGTTGGCACCAGAGTCCAGATACCACCGCTGCTCCTGGTCGGCGCCCACACGTCCTAGGTCAACTTGGGCGTGTGGTTCATCGAGGTTGATAGTCTTCAGGGCCTTCCCACGTCCTTCTACCGTCGTCGCATCTTCCTTCTCCTAGGCCTCGACGTCGTGCAGTGCATAGAACATCGCCATCAGGATAGTGGCCTCATCCTCATCATCAGCTTGCGCTAGATGAGCCTCAGCCTTCTTCTCCTGCTTGCGATTTGGGCACTCCCGTACCCAATGGCCCATCTTCCCGCAGCGCCGACAGGCGTTGGGGTCGACCTGCTTCTTCTTCTCCGAAGAAGCCTTGCCGCGGCGCTTGCCATCGCCACCGCGGTTGGAGGAGGCTGCCGTCCCGGAGTTCCTCCGAGTAGCCCACTCCTCTTCCGTCAGCAGCAGTTTGTCGCTGTCCTTCGTTGTTGTCGCCTGCTCCAGGCGCTCGTCCATCGCCCGCAGACGGCCTGTCACATCCTCAATGGTGAGAGTGGACAAGTCCAGCATCGTCTCTATATAGAGAGCGAACTGGATGTACTTTATCAGCACAGAGTGGAGGTACTTGAAGACCGCCTCCTCTTCGTCGATGGTGACGACATGGCTCTTCAGCTTGCTGATGAGCATCTACAGGCAGAGAGAGAAGTCCTCCACCGTTTCACCATCCTTAAACTTGAGGTTGGCGTACTCCTACTTCAGAAGCTGGGTCATCGCCTTCTTTGCGCGGTCGAAACCGACATGCATCGCCGCAATAGCCTCCCACGCCTCCTTAATCGAACTCTTCGCCCCAACGGCTCCCTGTACTCCGCCGGTACAGCAGTGAGGATAGCCTCCAACGCTAACATGTCATCCTCCTCATTGTCGGTGCCCTTGTCAACAGCATTCCAGAGTCGTCGGGCTCTGAGCTTGACCTTCATGGTCACCGACCACTCTCCATAGTTGGTGCGAGTCAGCGTCGGCCAACTGGTGTGAACAACGACCTTCGGTTCGTGGCTGGGCAGCCACAGCAGTGCCACTGCTGTCGCCCATCTCCAAACCGCCCGTCATCACTAGCGGTTAGTCTGGCGACGGTGCCTGTGCAGCTCTGATACCACTTGTTAGCCCACAGGATCATCGACTCAGGTGAGTCGACCACTCACCAGTCTTGCCGAGCACCCGCTAGTGTTGCCGAGCACCCACTAGCTAAGCTGGCCATGAACAAGCATTATCCGTCCCCACACACTATGGATCAAGGTTGAAGAAGAGGGAGAACATAGCATACACACAGTATAAGACACCAGCGTTGGTCGAAGCCCTGTATGGGAGATGACAAACCTAAACTCTCTTTACTAACTTGCCATGGTTGTCTATTTATACAACTATATCCATCTAATCATAGTACAGCGCACATGCTATAACTGTAACTAGATAACATTTAGGGCTGACTCTGCGCCGGCCTCTGCATGTGGCTACAGTACTGCAGGTGAGCTGTTCGATGCCTGCATCTGCAGCGACTATAGTATCACAGCAGAGAGCCTTTTCAACACCGCCTTTCTCATGTTCACACAAGTAAACAGTAAGCTCCATTGCTATCCCAATGGATACGACAAGGAGGCCGCCGGCTACATCTCCCTCTTCCTCATGCGCGAGGAGGAGGAGGAGGAGTGTCAGCGCCTCAGCGGCGGTGTCCACGCCAAGTACCAGTTGGCCTTGGTATACCCCCGCTCCAGGTTACTGTCGTGGCCATCGTACGACAGCGACAGCCGCGTCCACACCTTTCGCCACAGCTGGGGCTTCTCGCAGTTCATCAGCGTGAAGTGGCTGGAGCTTTTGGGGTCCCTTAAGGACGACTGCATCGCCGTCAGGTGCGACATCACCGTCGTCGAGAAGTCGGTCGTGAAGGATGAGTTCGTGAAGGCGGCGGACATGGCGAGGCTTGGGATGCTCTACAAGTGCAAGGACGACCTCTGCAAGCGCCACCACCGTAGGCCGGCCGAGACTGGCAAGAAGCTCAGGAAGGCGTTCGTTAGCTTTTTCAGGTCCATCCGATGATTATCAATTTGTATTTCAAATCCAAATAAATAAAAGTAGTTATTATGCCTGTGAATACCATTCAATTCTTCTTGTCGTTTCATCTATATATTGTGTTTGCATTCTGTAACTGGTATAGCTCAAGAGTTCAGAGCATGGATGCTGCGTTCATAGGGGTGACTGAGCGCTCATGTATGTGAGCGTCTGTATTTGTAACTGTGTCTCGCAAAAAAATAGTTCTATTGTTTGATCGTATTCCAAAGTGTTCTTGTCGTTTCATCTATATATTGTGTTTGCATTGTGTAACTGGTATAGCTCAAGAGTTCAGTGCATCGATGCGTGTGTTCATAAGGGTGAGTATGCGCTCATATATGTGAGCGTCTGCGTTTGTAACTGTCTCGCAAAAAAAATAGTTCTATTGTTTGATCATATTCCAAAGTGAGAACTTTACATTGTGTTTCATGTCACTGCTAGAGAGTTATGCACCTTGACAATAGTACTAATTGTGAGTATAAATATGGGTTTTCAATTATAGGCCAACTATTGTGTTGTATAAGCTTCAGCACTTTTTCTTTGAAGAAATGGAAAATTGTGATTGAGATACGTGTACCTTTTACAAGAAACACAAAATTTTGTGTTGTTGTGTAAGCAACAATTTTTTTCTTAAAAAAAAAGAAGATCATGAGAGCATACATGTTTTACAACAAGCATCAAAGTGGGTGTAATCACAATTGTTGTCTGGTTGATCACTATTAGGGAATTGATGTGTATATGGGCCAAAATCTAGGCTATCCATGGTGGATGGGCCAAAGTGGCCCACGTAAGCAAAACATTTGCGAATGCCCTGGTGGGACGTAATTAATTTGGTGTTTGTTGCAGCAACAGTATACATGAAGTTTTTTTTTTACTTTTGTGGTCAATTTTTCACTTTGACCATTATTAGATAATTATTCATAATATAATATTGATGTTATTAGTAGGTAGATAGATTCATCATGATTAAGTGTTTCTATATTATGCGGTTACTTTATTATAAATATAATTTTCATACAAATTATTAGCCAAAACCATGCATAAGACCATTTCATGCCCAGTGACCAAAAGGATTACAAAGTCCCACACCTTCCACCTCGAGTACTAATCATAGAAGTCTGAAGTTTGATTTTGATATTTCATGATTGGTAGTTATGGCATGAAGAGAAACTTTAATGTATCTGAGAGACATCATTTATTAATTTATGACATGTGTGTTTGATGGCCTCACTTCATTGCATTATTGTCTCTGGTTTTCTACATGATTGCTTCAACACATGTACAAACTTGTAGTAGAAAGTTTGCCATAGCTGAGTTTTGATCCTAGATCCGCCGCATCAAATAATTATGGTTAACTTCAAGTTAAAGCACATAACAAGGGGTTTATGTCCTTTTTCACGTGCGCGTGCTATATGTTAGTGCATGAATTGACAAAGATGTGGCATCCTTAGTTGTGTACATAGTTACTGATAGCATACAAATGTTTTAAATTGCAAGTGAGAAGGGACTACACGTGTGGCAAAAAATCCTCACCCCGCACGCATGGTCGCTCTCCAAGGCAACTCAAGTGGCCCCATGTTAGGTCAACCCCTCTCCCCCTCCAAGCCTTTCCTTGCATCTCATTGTCGCTAGCTTGAGCTAGCTACCAGAAGCTCGTGCACCAGCAAAGGAGGGATAGGGCATCGATAGGGATTGAGCTAGCTATGGGGATCATGCATGATGAAGGGCCTTATTAGTTGTTGTCAATCCGAGCTCCGATAATGCTCATGGTGAGGGCTACCTAGGGTGGTAAGGGGCTAGGTCTGGCCCTTCCATAGCCATGGCCCATGGGCATCATCCTTGGCGGTGATGCATGACATGGCATCGATTGAGGTGAGGTATTATATTGCATGGGTGTGAATCCATGGTGTTGGCACGGGCAGGGGCGCATGAGGGTACGATGTTGGTGGAGTTGTGCTAGGAGGATGTGTTTTATGGAGATGAACATCAGAGAGTTGGACTTTGCTATTGCTACCATTGATTTCTGGGAAGTGTTTTGCCAGACCCCTAATGCCTAGTATCCTCCCTTGTGTACCTCTCTCCATATGGCCCAAGTGGGAGACCTTGGATACTGGAGGAGGGTTAGCTCTCCATTAGGTGTGGTGGTCATTGCACCATTGGCATGGCAAGGGTTCGGAGGTTCGGCTACTCTTTTAGGGGTAGATCGATAAAGGTTAGGACGAGAGCCTAAATGCCATGCATTGTGGGTGTTGTTCCTCCAGGATGAGAGCCTAAATGTCAAGCCTTTGTGGTTGTTTTCTCCTTGGAGGCATCTTTGATGTGGGTTCTTGTCCAATTGTCTTCGTCTTAGAACATAAGAGACTGGCTATATGCACTTGGACAGGTACTTATGAGATGCATATCCATGTGTATAACTAAAATCCCTCATATTTTATGATAGAGGTAGTACCTTGTTTTCTCTGGGTGAAAACCCAACCCTATTCTTGGCTGGTGACTGAGAACCATTGGCGTGACAGCTTTGAAGGTGTCATCATGGAGTTTTTTTTTTTTGCAAAGATATCGTGTATTCCTAGAAATACCCATAAATCATGCTTTTTTCTAAAACACTAGAAGGACACTTGTTTTGGTCTCTCTTAATGATGCCATCTTATTATTCAGAAAAAAAAAACTATTGGGTGTAATTGTGTCCTTGCTTGAGACGGGTGATTGGATTTACCCATGAACATGAAGTGGATTAGACACTTGCCACTAAACCTCTTACATAACACAGAATTATCAAGATCAAAATCCAGGACTGTTCGAAATGCTCACGTTTTTCACACGCCCAAAGCCCAAAAAAGCCAAAGAGGTGTTTTCAGTCAATTAAAAAAAAGAAAAAAAATAAAGAGAGGCTGGATAGGACTTTGGACTTTGGAGGTACCCTCCACCTCAGCCCTTGTTTAGTTCACGAAATTTGGATTTTAGGGTTACTGTAGCACCTTCGTTTTTATTTGGCAAATAGTGTCCAAACATTGACTAATTAGGCTTAAAACGTTCGTCTCGCAATTTTCCACCAAACTGTATAATTAGTTTTTCTTTCCGTCTACATTTAATGCTCCATACACAAACTGCAAACATTCGATATGACAGGTACTATAGCGACTTTTTAGATTTTGGGGTCCAACTAAACGAGACTCAGTCACACACTCCTTACACACTCCCACTCCAATGGCTGCCGCCGCTCTCCCGCACTCCCACCCCCGCCTCCGCCTCCCGCTCCACACTCCCAGTCCCGCCTCCCGCCTCCCGCCGCCGCCACCGCTCCCTTCTTCGCCTCCCCTCTTTCGTCGCCGTCTCCCGCCTCCAGAACCCCACCACCGCGTCCCACCCGGTCCTGCCGCCCCCGGCTCCGCCCCCCTCCGCCGCGCTCCTCGCCGCCGAGAGCGCCTCCCTCGCGCCGCGCCGCGAGCCCCGCTTCCCGGGCTCGCTCTCCTCCCCAACAATCCCCGCTGGCTCCGCCTCCGCATCCGCCGGCCTATCCGAGGCGGAGGACGCCGTCCTGCGCCGCGCCCTCCAGGTGCGCCGCGCCGTCGCCGCCGAGGCCCTCGTGGCCGCGCTCGGCGGCGGGAAGATCGGCGGCCTGACTTACATCAAGAACCTCACGTCGCGGATGGGCCCGTTCGTGGACCGCGTCGTCGTCGAGGCCGCCGCAATGCGGCGGGACCACCCCGACCTCGCGCACATGTCCTTCAACGCCCGGGCAAAGGCGTACATCCAGGAGTCCGGCCTTGTCGAGCTTGTCAAGTAAAGAACGCCACTTTGCTTGTTTCATCTATTTCTTCGAATTATTTATATTCAGTATGCACAAGAATTGCGATTATTTAAACTACCGGAAGCATTGCAATTTGCAAATCATAAACATGCAGTTTTTCTAGTTTAGGCATGTACTGCGGTTCCCTAAGACCCCAATTAGCACTGAGATTGTTACATTGCATACTTCAGGTGGTTCAAGCACAATTCAATGACATATCCCCAAATCGCGAAAGTCGTTTGCGCATGTTCTGGCGATTTGGGGAAAGTTAGGAGGATGATAAAGTGGCTTAGGTCCATTTATGTAAAAGGAGATTTTTTGGGGCGTGTCCTTGCAAACGGTGGAAGCTTCTTGAACCAGAGCTTTGAAGAACTGGAAGAGATTATTGGCTATTTGGAAAGCCTTGGTGTCAGGAGAGACTGGATTGGGTATGTGGTCAGCAGATGTCCACAGCTGCTGAGCTTGTCAATGGATGAGTTGGAGACACGAGTCAGGTTTTATAGGGATTTGGGAATGGACGAGAAGGACTTTGGCACAATGGTATATGATTATCCAAGAGTTCTTGGATTTTTAAGCCTGGAAGATATGAACAGTAAGGTGTTTGCTTGCATTTAGTTCAGTTCTGTCATATTTTTGCTGCACATTGCATATTTGTAGATGCACCTTTTATTTTCTGCATTTTATTTACTGCCGCTTGCTATGGGCAAGCAAGAATCTATTTCATATTCAGAATGGTTTAAGATTCAGTCGTATCTGTTCAATAAAAAATAGAGGGTTCAACAAAAATGATGTCACCATCTACTTCCTCCCTTTTAATATAGTGTTGATATGCTGATTGGCGTGGATCTCAAGTTTAGGGTGCCATATCATTTTACCCATCTAATGGAACTGATGAGGAACTTGTCAGAATTACGTTCCTTGTTCTTCTTGAAGAATTCTAATAAAGTTACTAATATACTTCTTGTATTGTTTTCAGTTCTTAAGTCTGGACATCTATTTTTCTAGTTGCTAATGAAATAGCATTCTTGGTGACAGGTTCAATATCTGAAAGAGTTTGGTTTAAGTGCTCAAGAACTTGGGAAGTTACTGGCTTTCAAGCCACAGCTCATGGCCTGTAGCATTGAAGAAAGGTGGAAGCCTCTTGTGAAATACCTGTATCACCTTAACATTTCAAGGGATGGCATGAAAAGAATGTTGA